GGTAAACATGTAATGTAAGGTGTTTTGTTATGTTTGATTGGATGTACATTGATGATCCATTGTATAATGAATCATAGATGCGAAACTTAACTATTTTGTAATTGTGAAACTTTTATGGTTTTACAATTGGTTATTAATATACGCTCGATGGTAAAGTTTCACTACATCAAGATTTTGTGAATAACATGAAATTTTGAAATAGAAGTAGAAATGACTTTTTCTTTTAAAAAATTGTAAAAAAAATTGTATTTCTGTAATATATGTAATAAACTAAACGTTCTGCTAAATCTTCCAAATACACTTTCAACACTATTTGACTCTTATCTCTATGGTTAAGCCGTTTCTTGCTACAACATTCGATAATTTGAGTCATATTCACTCTATATTGATCAGTTTTTGGTGATATTTCAATTTTTGAAGTATGAGTATCAAATTTAGGCACATAATTACGACTCAATTTCTGTCTTACGTTTTTAAGTGATTTTGCGGTAGAGTAACATACATTTTGCAACAGTTAATATGTATATATCTGTGGTGAAATGATTTGGATATTTTTTAAAAAGTCCATCCAAAAAATGCAATTTTTTATTTGTAGTTTCCATTTTTCAACATTACAAATGCATGACCGATGTCGATGTGTATAGATCGACTAGGTAAGTCACGCGGTTTCTATATTTCGTAATTTCACTAATCACATAGTTTCATTAAAAATATTTTATTCAAAGAGGGAATGTGTAACATATATACACATCCAGTTTACTTATTGCACACTTGACATAGATCAAAATGAATATTTAATCCATATTTTTATAAAGTCTTTGTTTCCATGGAATTTCTTCAACTATTCAATCTATTACTTAGGATCTCATATTAGATTTGACCTTATATAATATATACCTTCGTTTTTCGTGAAAGATTAACCAACAAGAAAATTTCCATCTATTTGCTAGTAGATTGAAATTCCATTTCAATCAGTTGTCTACGTCAGTTTAATGTTGTAAGCTTATATTCAAAGTCAACAGAAATTTGAGGTTTTATCTATATATGCAAGGACATTTTGTCATATATTAGCATATATATCATTACACTTTCAGAATTTTTTTAGGCCATCATATATCATTTGTTACACCTTACAATTATCGCGATGTGTGTTGAGCTGTTATGCTACTACATGCGCGAGAGGCGTCTCAAGAAGGAGGAGAAGAAGAAGTCATCTCAGTCGAGAGATGACGTCAAAAAAGGTGAAACGACGTCAGAAACGAAAGATGGAAATCTTGTTGTCATGTCGTCGTCGGGAAAGAGTGAGACCACC